TTTGATCCACCTAGCTAAATGTGGTGGCTTCAAAGCTAGGAAAAATTGTTGTATTGAGCTTCCTAACCTTGTTTTGATGGTTTAAAGAGTGTTTCTTATATGGCATATCCAGTTGTAATGACAGTCAATGGATATCCAATTCTAATGTAATGTTCATTATACTTCAGCAGTATGCTGAGAGTTTTCATTCTATGTTTGAAATGATGGCTTCCATTTGTTCAGATTTTATAGGTATACTGGATTTGATCAAAGATAAGTTTCAGTGTAAGTATACCAAATTTTAGAGAGAAGAATAGTGGAGTTACACCGAAGTACTACAGAAAAAAAGGGATTAAAAAAAGATGGCAGCACTGTTATAATATCATTGTAATTCATTAACTTGGGAAATCTAAGCTATGCTTTAAAGATACTTAAACATATTAATAAGGCATGATCACAGAAGACTAAAATATCTGAACAGCCTTAACTCAGATGATCTAAGAATCCCCAGAATCACTATATGATTACAGTTCTGATATTTTAGCATTTGTGAACCAGAATAGATGCAACTGGTGTCTTAGGATACATTTTTAATAACTTCTCATGGGATTTCAAAAAATCAGGAGTGGGAGAAAGTAAGGGAGGAGTTTGACAGCCTGCAGGCTCTTCTCTACACATGAAAGGTAAAATGCTTAAAAATAAGCATTTAATAGTGGACTTGGAAAATTATCAGGACTAGATAAGAACAGAAGAGTAAAAGACTCAGAGGCTGACATTGGAGATGTGGTGGTAGAAGATATCTGGACAGATAAACTGAAGATGGCAAGAGAACAGAGAATGGCAAGGGGTCAGACAAATATGTTTAACCTACAGACTGCAATCTCTTAAGGGCCGTAATATTAACTGCAAGTGTTATGAGTCTTCGCATTCTTCTTCTGGCAATGAATCACTGTGAGTGCTCCTGGTAATGTGTATTTTATGCCTTCTAACAACTGACCTGCATGGAGAATAACATATCCCCTCTGTCATGATTAGTCAGCCTGATTGGAAAAGATCTCAGCTAAGTTTGTGGACCCTGCCAAAGCACAGTGACCACCAGTCTGGCTCCCAATGCTGAATCTTCCCTTCCTGATGGGTGTTAACTTTCCTCAAGAGACGGGAAGTTAGTGTTGGAAACAAATAGTACTGAGAAAAACTTTAGGATTTTTATGAACATTTTGAAAGAAAGTATGCGCCAGCTGTTGATGTTGTGGGACTTAGATAACTTGGTGTTCAAACCTAGGGCTTTCTGTGTGCCACCGGTAATGGGAGGCTTCCAAGAGAGCTATTATGTATTCATGTCAGGACTTACATGCCTAAATCCTGCAGATGTGCTAATGGTCTAGATGACAGCTACCCAAATAAATACCATATATACCATGGCTATATCAGATAAAAATGGTTAGTTTTTTTCCCAATAATGTGGATACGTGTCTGTGTTTTGTTGACATCTCTTTTGATCTCTGGTGGAAGCTGAGGTGTACCAAAGGCAACACCTTCTAGATCCTCTCAGAGCTGTATTGTTCATTGCCAGCCATCAGCCACCCTCAGGTGTTCCTGACAGGGATATACACACCTTTTCAAAGTGGCATGTGGATGTCATCATCAGCATTCAGCTGCTGCTTGTGTTCAAGAAGGTAAGCTCCTAAACATATGCATAGGAACAGTCTTGTGTGCCTGTGCCCAGGAAGAGCAGGGTCCGAGCACTATACAGGAATGTGGAAAAAACATTGTGGCCAACACTTGGAATTTCCATTATGTTGGAAATTATGATATTTCAAAGAAAAAAAATTTGCATCATGTTCTGAAAAAGAATTCTTTTAACAAAAACTTAGGAAAAAGTGTAAGGCCATTGAACTTTTTACTCCCATGGTCTAGGTGTGAAGGTTATCTGTAGGATCATCATTGTAGTCGCTCTCCCCACCTCTCCTTTCCAAGTACATAATTTCATAATTTAAGTAATTCCCAAATCCTACATGTCCTAAGTATAATATGTTAAGCATCCTGGATACAATGGCATTTCTGCAGCAGTGCAATACTTTAGGAAAGAATATGTTGCTCATGTTTACAAAAAACAAACACACACACACAGACATATATATACATATACATATTTGGAAGTGTCTACCGAAGTCAAAAACTCTGTGTTGGCTTTAAATGCTTCTTTTCCTGGTGAGGGCTGGCAGCAGTCCCTCCCACACAGATACCATCTCAACCTGCAGCAAAATAGCAAAAGCTATTTCTTAATCCCATCTTCCAGATGCTCAAGTACCATCACAAATATGAGATGTTTAGTGCAATCAGGAAACAGGAATTAAGGAACAAAGTAGGTGTACTGTAAGTATAAGGCCCATCAAAAGAAATGCCTCTTGTTACAACTTATTTGTCTTAATGGAAACCACTTACAAGTCCCTTGAATTTGGCCAACTGCTCAGGTCAAAAGCTGCTGTCAGAAGTATGAGTGCAACATTCTTACGGCTGGAGTGAGTAAAAGTTAAAAGTTTTGACTTGCTATAGTTATACAAATGAACTGATTTTTCTAAATTCCTCTTTCACCCCTGCCTCTCTGGCTCATATATCGATAATTGAACCTTTATCTCCAAAGAAGTTAAAATAGAAAGCAAATTTGAACACATATTTGTCATAATTTGTCATTTCTGAGGTCATGTTGAATGCAAATTAGAGAGTAGCAAAGTTGTTGACAGATACTATTTTTATGGAACTTTACCATACAACAAAAGGGATTAAAGAAAAAGTAAGTTAATTCCTTTTTTTCTGAATAAACTTCGACTTGAATTTACTTATAAGCATGTTTTGAATGCCAAATTGTCTTTTATAGTCACATACAAATTTGCTTCCTTTGAAAACACATTTTTTTCATTTGTGAATTTGATTATATTGCCAGTGTCTTTTCTAACCTTTTTCTACTACTAACTTCAGAGATATAGCTTCAAAAATAAAAGCATGTGCATATTAATAGTAATGGAAAAGAATTTCAATCCAGTGTTATTTGCATTAAAACAAAGTTGTAGCTTTTACCTACATGGGATTACTATGTTGTGTTTAGTAAGGACAAATAAACACCTTTATTTGACTATTCACAGGGGTATGTATCCCATTCAGTAAAGAGAAATGAACAATGAAAGGTAAAAAATTACATGTTCCTGGTCCTTAGATCAGTATTAAATATATTCCTGGCATGAACAGGCTTTTCATTGGTTATAATGCTGGTTTTCAGGTGTACAATAAAACTCACCAACTCTTTAGGTTGGGTGTACCATTGATTATGAAGCTGTAAGAGGAGAAACACAAAGCTATTTAGAACACTCCCATTTTTATCAGCTTACTAACTTTTATGAATCCGTTATTAGCAACTTCAGACAGAAAGCTCTGGAGAAAGATGAAGTCACATGACTCTGCAAGTTAAGAAACCCCCTTCTGGAATATGAGAAAAATACATTCTTTAGGAAGCAGGGATTTGTTTGGGAACACTATAAGAGCGATGAAGGTAAGTAATCTGATAGGATTCCTCAAGTGCTCTGAAGCCCCATCTGAGCTCTGCTGCAGCTCCATGCACCTGCTGTGCAGCCGCATCGGCGTTAGTGCAACAGCTCTTATGGCATCGATTTTGAAACATCGATTTTGGCTTGATCTCACACACACAAGACCAGACACACGAACACATTAAGAGAGTCACAGGGCTGCCGCCACGCTCTGAAACAGAGATCGAAATGCTCTGCGGTCCCTCCTGCCGTCCCGCTCGGAGCTCGGGAGCAGCGGCAGGCAGCTCCCGGCTGGGCTGCGAGATGCAGGACGGGAAGAAATAAAGGCAGAGAGCAGGGATAAATCCAGGAGGAGAGCGGGGAGGGAACTCGCTCAAGCGGACAGGCACGCACTGATGACTGACGCGCCTTGGCTCGTCCCCAGCTCAGCGGGTCAGACGCGCGTGTTGTCCCGCTGTGGCCGCGGCAGCCTTCCAGGGTTTCCCTCATGATTCATGCCGGAGGAGCATTCCCCGAAAACAAGCACGTCCCCGGACGGGGCTTCCGCAGAGGCTCCCGGGGCACTTCTCGTGAAACACTTCTGCGGGACCAGAGAATAGCTGGTGCAGACCGTGGCAGAGGAGTCGGGGCCGGCCAACCTCGGAGAAGGGGCTCCGAGGAGAGAGGGAGCCAGCAGGGTCATGGTCCTTTCAGCCCGGCATCCCAGGCATCCTAGTTGGCAGTGCCCCTGGCAGACTGTCCCCCGGCGTCCCTCTCATGCCCAATGCCAGGACCAACCTGTTCCCCGATGTCTCCGACACCCCGATCCACAGTGCCTGAGGCAGCCTCTCCTCCGATGTCCCTGGCATGCCGATCCCCAGTGCCCGAGGCAGCCAGCTATCCAGTCAGCTAACGCAGTCCCCAAGCCCGAGCAAGCGCTCCTCGCCTGCACTCCCCGCAGCCTGCACAAGTCAAGAGGCTCCCCGGGAGAGTGGCTTGCAAGGTAAAACGTTCACCTTCGAGAGAAAAAAAACCCCACAACAACTGTAGACGGCGTGGGGAAATAACCACTACCCTCCTCCCGCTCCCACGCTACCGTGTTAAAACGATCCACTAGAGATACTCCTGCAACCTCCATGTGGGAAGTAGGGGCGCCTACCCCCGGGCAGTCCCTCTGCAAGGTGCCCCGAAGCATTTTTTCTCGTCTTTGAGAGAAAATCGTGTGTTATTGCAACGGTCCACGCTGCAGGTGCACTCCACGTAGTTATGAGTGTTACTCCCATTTGTTTGATGCACGATTGTCTATTGCAGAGCTTTTGTGTTTGCTTTTGTTTGGGTTTGGGTTTAGATACTGTCTTTGATTATTATTCGTTATCCCAGTTTTCTTTTCAAATAAGTGACACAATCTCAAGACTGAGTAATTATTTACAGTTCTGGAAAGAGGTGCATGAGACATTCAAATGAGCCCGGTTATGGAACTGGAAACCTTTATTTCCGTAGGCGTACAGGTACATATATGAAGCCAGCAACGATCTGACGCCTGGGAGGAGAAAAACAACGTGTAAAGACACCATGGATAATCACAAGGGTAACCAAACAGTTTCTCTAGTGCTTCCGAAGCACGGGCATCTCTCTCTTCAGATCTGTCTTCCGAGCCTTGTTGGGTCACGTAGCGAATTAACCTTTGGCTTTTTCTTACGCAGTTCTTTGTGGCTTGATCATCTTTATTCAAATCGCCTTCTTTCCACGGGGATCCACTTACAATTTCAGCCTTTGTAACCACGAGGAGATACAAGAGGATCTACTAAACATTTTGGATCCAGACAAGACCTTTACACAAGAGGTTGGTGATTTCTCTAGTGGCATCGGAGGGAAACGGTCGGGACGGCACTGCCTCCACGTTTTTATTCTTGACCACCGGCAGCTACTTTCTGAAAATCTCCTTTAGCAAGCCGGGAGTTGGCTAGTTTAGTAAATCGGTGCCTGTGAAACAGGACCTTGAGGTTACGCCCAACTGTCCTCCCGTGACCTTCCTAAAATGCGCTTCACTGAAGCTGGGACTGTCAGGGATGGAGAGCACGAGCCCGGGTGGCCGCTGGGAAAGCGCTACCCGAAGCTTTCCAGTGCCTTGCAGACTCGTAGGACTGAAAGTCGCTTGTATAATGAATGCTCCACCGACGCTGAAGATGGTGTCATGGTTGCAAAGGTGATCAGTGGTTTTAGAAGCTACGAGGATGGTTCACACACATCTTTCCTTCGCGAAAAGACCGGGTGGTGTTTCTGGGGACGAGTAAGCCCCGCCGCTGTTTCGGGCACCACAGCCCGGAGCCACCCAGCCAGCCCAGCACCAGCTGCCCCGCACCGCCGCTGCCCGACTCTCGCAGCCGCCAAAGCACCCCGAGGCCCCGACGGGATGGTGCGGAGGGCAGTAGGGATGTCTATAGTGGGGTGATCAAGAGGGCTGGCAGCAAGGGGCCGTGTCTTTAACGAGCATCCACCCTGTTGTTTCCCTCCAGGAGCTACAACTCGATTTTCATACCTGCGAGGATGCACCCTCCCAGCCGACGGGCATGCAGCAGTCCGAGGTTCGCCCAGGTGCAAGCACTCCCCGGTGGCTAGGTGGCTTTCCCTTTCCATAAAACAAACAAACAAACAATCAAACAAAAACCCTAAACCACAAACAAACAAAAAAAAACAAAGAAAAGGGTGGGAAGGAGAGGGTAAGAAAGGGGGAAAGGGTGGAAAGAGAGGAGGGAAAGGGAGAAAGAGGAAAAAGGGGGAAGAGGGGGGAAAAAGGCCAGGAGAGAGGAAGGTAGAAAAAGAAGGAAAAGCAGGGAGAAGAGGGCAAGGATGAGGAGTGAGGGGAGAGAAAGGGTGGATAGGTAACCTCTTTTTAAGGATGCATGCGGAAGCGCTTGAGGGAAAGGGAGTTGAGGGCCGGAGTCGTGACCAGCCGTCTTTCTGCAGGATTCCCGGCGGGCGGAGCGAGCGGGTCGGCTGCTGGAGTGCCTCTTGGAGCGGGCTCGGGGATGCGGGAAGCGGCCGGAGCTGTGGCGAGACATCCTGTCCATCCTACGGCGCCGCTGCCCCGGCTACTGCCTGGCAGGGGAGGGTGCAGGGACAGCGCGGCGGGGCCACCCCAGCGCGAGGAGGTCCGGGAGCAGCGCAGGGAACGCCGACGGGGCGGTGCGGTGGCGGGGTGCATGGAGCCCAGCCCCGTGCGACAGGAGCAAGGCCCGGGAGCTGATGGCGGTGTGGAGAAGCTACAACAACTTGGGATAGGTGGCCTTGGGGGAAACTTCACTGTTTTTGTCCGCCGTATTGACTCTTTTATTGTTGCAACGGAGTCATCCTCCGGGGTAGTTTGGGTTTGTTTGGTTTTTTAACATGCATAATTTATTTAAAACCACACACACACAAAAACCCCAAAAACCCCAACAAAAACCCAGAACACCTCGGGAAGCGCAGCGGCTGCTGGAGCGGGCACCCCGCAGCCCCGCCGGGACGTACGCACCGTCGGGAGCTCAGCTCACCCCAGCGCTCCGCTGCCTCGGTGTCACCTGCAGCCAGACCCTATGCTTTGTGAGGAGAAAGGGGATAACAAAGTGAAGAATAAAAGGGGATTAAAAAACCTGAAAAATAAAAGGGGGTTAAACCCCCCCCACCCCCCCCCGAATAATAAAAGGGCATTAAAAACCCCGAAGAATAAAAAGAAAGGACGCGCAGTGGTGGCTGCGGGAATGTATGTAGCGCAGTGCGCGGTGACGGTCCTCTGCGTGTCCCAGCGCGGCTGCGAGGTGGCGTGTCCGAGGATGCGGTCGCGGGTCCGAGGATGCGCGCGGTCCGAGATGGGGTCGCGGTGCGGGGGCTGCTTTCGGCGGCGCACGGGGGGCGGGCGGGGCGGCGGAAAGGGGGGCGGGCGCTTCCTGCGGGAGGATGGGCGGGAGGCGGATGCGGACACAGAGCGGGCACGGACACGTGCGGTGCCATGTCGCGGAGGGCGTGGGGCTGTTCTCCGGGTTCCGAGTGCTCGGCCGCTTCAGCGGGCACGTCCCTCACGTTCTCCGCTACCACGGCCGGCACCGCGAGTTCTACGTGGCCACCGCCGTCGGGCGCAGCGTCCACACCTACAACGTGAGTACATCCCGGCCCCCCCTCGCCGCTTCCCCGGAGCCGTGCGGGGCGACCTGCTTCTTCCTCGCCTTCCTCCTCTCCCCGACCTCACCATAATGATGCGGGAGCGTGTGCAGGGCTGCGGCGCCCGGGTACCACGGCCCGGAGGGAGGGATGGAGGCTGCTGACTAAACAGGCCGGGAATGGGCTTGTTCAGCCATGTGAGGCAGCGTTGGCTGCTACAGCTTAGCGCATTCGGTTGCCTAAAAGCGGCACTTAAAAGGAAACTTCTAAAATTCAAATTTGTGAGTTTTAGAAATCAGGCATTGTTTATTACGACGCGCTACCCAGCGCGACGGGTGCCCTGGGAATCGTTTCGTCAGAATGCACACCGAGGTATTTTTCACTGCAGCTTGTATGTCTGCATTGCATGATTATTTATTTTTCATTCCTTGCATTCCTATTATATATTCATGGCATTCCCAACACTTATGAGCATATATACATGTCTTTATAAGGTCGTCGGGGGTCTCTAGGTCTCTTCTCTGTGTTTGGAGCCCCCAAAATTCCAAATGGCCACCTTGTGAAATGGTAATGCGGTAACTGAGTGTTGCAACTGGCTGCCTCAGTTCTTCTCCTCATTGTTTCTTTAAATCACTTGGCTTGGCTATCTGTAGTTTCTATGTTGTAAATACTATCAATCTTTCCAAAGGAGCACCCAGATGCTGAGGCTTTTCCTTGTTACAGAAGAAACCAAAGCTTGCCTGCAGCAGGGATAGTTGTGGGTTAGTGGCTGCACACTTATTTTTTGAAGGGTTGGGAGGCAGGCAATTAGATCCTATTAAAACTCCTGTATGGAAGCAGATGAGCAAAATTGAGTTCTGCCAGATGAAAGCCTGTGATATAGGCTCATTTCTTGCAGTGCAGAGTCACAGGGTTAGTGCAGAGTTAGAGTTAGAAGGGACCTCTGGACATCATCGAGTCTCACCACCCTGCCAGGGCAGGGTCACCTGGAGCAGGTGACACAGGAACACATCCAGGTGGGTTTTGAACGTGTCCAGAGAAGGAAACTTCATGACCTCCCTGGGCACAGTCAAAGCATAATCAGTGTATAGAAACAGTAACTAAACAGAAAGGAATTGAATCGAGTGATTATAGTGAACAGTAGAGTGCAGACAGCATGGATCTTCCTCCACCTTTGTGCTGCCTTTTAGTGTTCACTTCTGCCATTCTCTTCACAGACTTTCAACTGAAAGAGTAGTGATCATCAGTGGGAAAAGATGCTTGCAACTAAAGCAAATTCTATGTGAGCAGATATAAAATTAGAATACAGTGTGCTTGCAGTTAAACTGAAAACAGAGGTGATGTGGAAATTAAGTTGCCCAAGCTCTGCAAGGTGTTTTAACATGTCTTTAGTTTCCTATGCATTAGGGTAGAATACATCAGGAGCACAACTTAATTTTACTGAGTGGCTTTCTTTTTGCAAATGTATTTTCCCATTCCTTTTGACCTGCTGTCTGCACGTTTTCTGGTAGGTGCTGTTGTAAACTAAGATGAATAGTTTTTCTGTTTTGTGAGGTATGCAAATTAATCTAATGTGGTATCATTCCTAGAATTTTTAATTTCTGTTTATAGCAAATTCATTACAAGCAGTCACTAAAAATGCCTTTTTAACATTTTCATTACAGGTGAAGAAGCTTGGTATTGTTTCTGTGAGTAAGTATGCACAGATTGTTCATTCCTATCATTTGTGGGTTTTTTGACATGTTTGACATCTGCACATGATTCTCAACTCAGAAGCAAAAAATAAATTGCATGTACTAATATTTACAATCAAATATGTTGAGAGGAGTCTCAGAAATATAAGATATCGATTTGGAAATAAGACTGCTGTTGAAATTGTAACTTAGTTCTCTTAGAGACATACTTTGTGAACCTTCTGTTCTTATCATCTTGGTCTTCCAAGAATACCCCTAGGCCTTAATAATTGAGCAGTGAATAAAAGTCAAGTATTAATTTATTGAATTAATTTCAGATCCCTTATTTTGATTGTTGTTTTTGTGGTTATTAGAAGACTTATAGGAGTTATATAAAATAATTACATGAGGAAGGTATGCGTGGATGAGAATAGAAATCTTCAGGAACCTTAAGAATTGGTTGTGCTGCTGAATACAAAGGATATGAATTGATGGCCTGATATTCCCTTGGCTATTGGGAACAAAGCACTCTGGATATCAGCAGCAGGGCCCATCTTCTTCAGCACCATCACCAGCAGCCTTGGTGATGAGACAGCATTAGGATAAGTTTGCAGATGATGCTGTATTAGAAGGAGTAGCTGACACCCAGAATGGTAGAGTTTCACTCCAGGGAGCTGATACAAAACACTGAGCCTGGGCCAACTAGAACCTCGCCAAGCTCAGCAAGTGCAAGTGCAGAATCCTACACCTGGGACAGAACAAGCTGAGAAATGACTGGCTGCATGGAATCCTACTGAAAAGGAGCTGGGGTTGTGCTGGTGCCTAATTGAATGTGGACCAACAACACAGTAGCTGGGAATAGGGCAAGCTGTGTATCAGGGTACATTAGGAACACAGCCAGTTGATAAGGGGAGGCTGTTATTCTCCTGTACTTCATGCTGGTGAGGCTGTTCCTGGACTGCAGTACCCAGTCAGTGTGGTTCTCCTCCTTCCACCACTCCCCTTTCTCCTGCAGGAGGGTTGCTGAGGAGCTGGAGAGTGTCAGGTCCAACAGGATGTAGTATGAAAAGAGACTTTGAAGTAACTGGGTCTGTTTAGTCTTAAGAAAGGACAGATATAGGGTGACCTTACAGGTAATTAGATGGCAGGGCTGAATTTGTGGTGGTGATGGTAGACAAAGTAAAAAGAGGCAGCAAACACAGGTTGCAGCTTGAGAGGGTCACAGTGGTGCTTAGGAAAAATGGCCCTAAGAGGTAACTGTAATATGGTGTAGAGCTTGAGCAGAACTCCTTCCCCAGAAATGTTCAAGACTCAGCTGGGCAGTTAACCCACCCTGGTACTGGTGATAGTCTAGCTTTGGGGGGAGCTGGTGGGATGCTGAACTGATTAATTTCCAAAGGTCCTTTTCAACTGATCTTTAGATAATTCAGAGGGGTGCATGCTGTCTTGAAAACTAGGGGTTTCTGTTTACCATCAGGTTTTTACAGAGACCTCATAAATAAAATATTTTTCATTAAAAGAGCACCTGTAAACGAGACAATAAATGCCACACAACCAGGACTAGATTTAGAAGACCAGCTGTGCAGAGTTAACAGCTGTAAACACATTAATGTAACTTCTGTGTTTAGCTTTCAAAATCATAAAAGCATTGCATGTTCTGTTCAGTGAGCTACATCTTCTTACAGAAGTAGTCATCTAAGCTTTTTGAGAAATTGAAATGTTTACGTACAGTATTGTGATTGAAAAAATTAATGCTGTGCCTCTCTCTGTGTGGTGGTGTTGGTTGGTTGATGTTATGTGGTTGGTGCTCTGAACTTTTTAACTGGACTCTACCTAAAACTGTCTTAGCCTAAGCAGACTTCATACAGCTCATGTGGAGTACCTATAACCTGGCTGTAAGCCTAAGTCACTTCAGAGGTGCTGTGGGAAGGTGTGTAATATGTTCGAACAAATTAAACCTTAAGTGCAAGCTTTTTTATTTTCTTAGTCCTTAGTTTTATCCTTTTGAAACTGTGCTGCAGTACAGCAAAGGTACTGGTTTCTTTGTGTCTAATAATAATTCATAGTACAAAGCAACATTGTGGGGAAGGCTGGTATGAGATCATGCAAGTTTTTTATCATAGGTGTACTCACACACTTATTTTTAATCTGATGTTTCTTTGTACAGTTGTTAAGTGCTGTAACTTGCATTTTTATGTTTCACTGGGTTGAGAGTATTTTTTTCCTACAGTATATTTTTCAGTTTTCTACCATGTGAGACCACACCAGCAGTTTCTCAGTGTGATCTGGAACTTTGACTCATTTCCCTTTTGAACTAGTAAAGTAGCAGATCCCAATAGTAGGTACTCCTTCTGAACCAGCCATGAGGTGGTGAGTGAGATGTATTCTTAGGGCAGTGAATTCCCAGTTTCTTTACCTGTGATCAGGAAACAGCTGCAGGAGTTATTATTAAACTAATAAGCATTGCTAATGCTGAGATGTTGATTTTGCATCTGTGTTTCCAGCTTCACAAAGGTAACACTTACCTTCACTTACAGTGAACGTTCAGTAGTTTTACTGTTAAGTGTTTTTCAAAAGAACCACCTTGTGATCTACCAATTTGACGTTACTTATGATGTTGTCACCTTTTTATTGTAGCGTTTTATTGTAATATTGTAATATTTGCATTCATCCGAAATGTGTACATTTCTCTAAAATTCAATGTAATATTCAAAAGGAGAGCTTTCTTGGTGAGTCACGTGCCAGAGAAATATGCTGTGAGGCTTTTTCTTTCATTATGAGCCTGAGATTTGTTTATCTTTTCTTTTGTTTGATTAACAGGTAATGCTTTGCCACAAGACATTACATGTTTGGCAGCAGATCGCATGCTGATATTTGCTTCATATGACAATATTCTCCACGCTTTTGCCAGGAACAAAGAGGTTTTTATTAGTTTACTTATTGCTTAGTACAAGACAGCTGTGTAGTGTTTGGGGTATCAAGACAGTTAGTTTTCTACAGATGTTTATTTCTGTAGATGTTTAGTACCTTCAATTTTAGGGAAACAAACTGTAGAATAAAGAATAAAAAGCTTAAAACAAGGATGTAAATGCAAATTCTGTAGTGGCTGACCTGCGTTTTATGTATTAATTATAATAGTTAAATAGTTAGTTAAAGATAAAAAAATAAGTTGTTAATTCACATAAGTGAACTGAGTGAAATTAAATAATGAAAAATATTTAGGTAGAATATTTTTGCCAGCAGTTTTAAATGTCATATATAGTTATCTATCTTCTACTTCAGGTTGTGTGGCCTTTCCATGTGTTTTATTTAAACTTAGTTGCTTTTAGTCTGTTAGCTGTCCTCAGGTATTATATTAACATGATATCCTGCCCTAACAGCTTATATTAAGAGCATTTCTATTTTGAATTTATAGGTGGTTCATACCTATGAAGGTCACAAGGCAAGGATACACCTTCTACAACCTTTTGGTGATCACATCATCTCTGTGGATCTTGATAATGTTCTTATTGTTTGGAATATACAGTCAGAAGGTGAGAGACTTTTTTTTTACTACTTTTTAGGGTAAGATTGTTAAACATTCATTAGTTTAAAAAGGAGTTTTGTTAAATGCACATATTCAGAAATAGTTCATCCTTAAAAAAGAAAATTCCTAAATGGCAGTGCTACTTGTTAGTCTGCAATAATCCTGCAATAATATTTCATGAATGGATTCTGCATCACATGCAGAGACCCAGTAGGGTTCCATATAGGTGTAAAGAGATAATGGTTATATGGAAATTACATTTTAGTTTTCCATTTTCTGGTAAAGACTGTGATACAGCAGCTTTAACTCTATCTCTGAAACTGTGTAATTCCTTGATATTTACCAAACTGGGTAAGACTACATTCTAATGAATAATCTTCTGATTGCATCAGCATCTTTTCGTGCCATTGTCAAGCGCTTCAGTGCCCCAAACAATTGTGCTTCAGTGCCCCAAACTTTTTCCTTTAGAAAGCATTGCCATTGGTGTGACCAGTGTTATTCCCTGGATCTTGGGCCTCAAAAGTGTCTGTAAACAGGCTTTAGAATTTGAAGTTGCTAGGACAAACAAAAGGCATGCTAATCAGATGAGGTGTTTTGCTCAGGCAGGAGCAGGAATCCCTCAGAAAGATAAAAATCGCTACCGTTCTGCCAGTATTGCTGTAGTAGGTAGGCTTATAGGGAAAACATGTACCTTGGAGCCAACAGATGTTAGAATGTAAAGCTGAGACTGTCCTGTTACACATTAGCTAATCCTTTAATGTAAGAAACACCAGTTGCAGGATTTGTAAAGTAAACATCAGCTCTGCTTTTACATTTGCAAAGGGACGACAAGCATGCAGATTTGTAGGTGTAGCCACACTAACACTGTTTCTTACCTTTTTTTTGCAGAAGAGTATCTTCAAGTGGATTTTGATAAAGCCACTTTTGTAGTTTCTGCACTTCTGCATCCCAGCACCTATTTGAATAAAATTCTCCTTGGGAGTGAACAAGGAAGCTTGCAGCTGTGGAATATAAGATCCAAGTAAGATGCTTAATAACTTGGCTACACTTCATGCCCCGAGTAGCTTGATATGCTACAAATAATACTTTTAAGTATTATAGGTTTTGAACATGGAATCTTTTACCAAGTATTGGCAAAAGTTTTCAGTTAGTCTTTCTCCAGGAACAGAGAATGCTGCTGCCTCCTGAATGCTGACACCTTTCAGGTTGCATGTTGTTTACTCTCCTTGCAAAATGTCAGAGGTTGTTCAGGACTTTTTTTTTTTCAAATTTCTTGAAATCACATAGCTTTCCCATGAAAGCAATTAAAATAATAGTAAAAAGCATGTTCAGGCCTTCTGCCTCCCTTCTAGCTTAATTTTTTGGTTGTTGTGGATACAAGGAAGTGTTGACAGGTATTGTGGACGTAATTACCAGCATTTGAGCCTTACACTCAAATAAGAGATGTGTAGATATGCCATTGTCTCTGAGCATGTCTGAGTAGATCATCATTCATATTGTCAATATTTCCTGTCTACCAAGATCACCCGCTTTTCTAACTCATGAAAGTTACAAGTACAGTGAGTTTCCCTGCATGTTGATGTACACACTGCAAATAGATGTTGTCAGCTTGCTTAATTCAGTGTCTTATTTTCATAACCACTGCATACTTTAAATTGTATCACTGTTATTTCTTTTTGTTTCATATTCTAATGTTTTAGAGATGCCTTATATGCTATATAAATCAGGAAATAGGAATAACCTAAAAATACAGAAAAGTAAATGTCTCTACTCATAGTATTTTTACATCTATTCAATGCCTGTCACAGCATCTTGAGATGCAGTACATCCTAGATGACAAAAAGTCTGCCTTAGATGGCTTAATTTCTCTGTTAATTGTGTAAAAACTTATGGCATGTTACTGCTCTTTTAGCAGTATTGCTGGGTTAAGCACGATATGTTTTTGCCTGTTTGTTCCCTCCATAGATTGTTTTGTAGATAGGAATGGAAAAACTAGACCAAAAAAAAATTAAAGAATTGAGGGGAAAGTTTGATTGTATCTGGCAAGAAAGGAAAGTGAGAGGTGGTAACATGACTGGTAGCAGTCTTTTAAGAATGTCAACCTATGCCTGTGGTGATAGAATAGATTTTAATCATGTCCTTAAATAACATCTTCACAATTTCACCCTTAATAAGTGCTGCATGACTGCCTTGTCTTTGAGCGGTCCTGCTTCGTATTTTGGCTCTTACCATGTCTGAAAGGAACAAGATGGTGTGTGCTTGTAATACATACTGGTGTCTTAATTTAGGGAAGTTACTCTGCACATGAAAGATTTGATTCTATTAGAAGCTGAATCAAGACTGGCTTTTTATGTTGATGTTGAGAATTCTGCAGAGGTGTGATTGTGACAGAAATGCATGGGGAACAACTGGCATAGAAGGGTCTTCCTCCCTGTTCATGGCGTACAATTATGTCATTGTTGTGGGATTAATGCATGACACTAAATTTTTCAATAAAAATGAACCATAAGTTTTATTCTTAACCCTATTTATTAGTGTCACAGGTGTTTTTTTTCTTTTATCCGATTTATAAAAAGAGAAAGCTGATTATTTTTCCATGTAAGTGCATATAAAGCAGCCATTTTGTCATGGAAGATCCCCAAGGGTTAATTGATTTATGGATTATGTGTGTTTGTTTTCCAGCAAACTCTTATACTCATTTCCAGGATGGGGCTTCGCAGTCACAACTCTTGCACAAGTTAGTACTTTTGTTGCCTTTTATTTTTGTGCATAACTGGTCAGCTGGTAAAATATAATTGTTAAAAATTACAGCAGTAAAGATGGCTTGTATTCTCTCAAGGTATTGTAATAACCTTCTCTTTAGTGAAGGTTTGTTACCTGCTCTTCCTCTAGTCCTAGTTATGTTGCATTTAGGATCTTAGTTGTTTTGTGTTTATCACATCTATAGTCTTCACTAAATTATATAAATTCATAGAAACAGTTTACATTACACTGGTAGTTTTTTGCTAAACTTATTTTGCTTTGGAGGTTGATAAAAGGTAGATTTTGCTGATTCAAGAAAAGATTTTGTAATTGTATTTGCTATATTTTTTTTAGATATAAAAATTAATTTTAACTTATTGGTAGCATTGATGACAGCTTTGAAAAAGGTCAGCAGTTGTTCAGGATAAAACTTGTACACATGGAGGTGTGGGGCAGGGTATATAATGAATAATAACCAGAGCTACTGGGTACTAAAGTGATGTGTTTTTCAAAGGATTCAAAGTTTCTGGAAACCAATAGAGACTAAGCACAAAATCTTGTATTTCTTTGGGTTTTTTTGTCAGATCTTCAGTTTTGCATTACAGTGATATAGATAGAAAATCTTATGCAAGATGCCTTATTTTTTTTCTTTACTCTTTGTCCCAGACTTAGATACATTGTCTTGAATGTATTGTCATTACCAGTGTAGCTGCAAGCTTTTTCTCTTTCATTTTAGTTGCTGTTCAATTTTTCTTGCAGGCACCAGCAGTGGATGTTGTTGCAGTTGGTCTTGTATCTGGTCATATCATTGTACATAATATTAAGTTTGATGAAACTCTGATGAAATTTCAACAAGACTGGGGTCCCATCACAGCAGTATCTTTTCGTACAGGTAAGTCTTAGCATTTTTTTAGTGAAAATATGTATAAAATCACTAAAACTAAGTGGGACACAGGAAAATATTTTTTGATAAAACATTTCAGAATCAAAATTTGTGCTGAGAGTTCTAGTTTTCAAAGACTGAAGGTAATATAGAGAAGTTACCAATAAGTAAGGGAGATCATGCATTTTCATCATGACTTATAGTGCTATTTTATAGCATTTTCTTGTATTCTGACTCAGCGCACAGCATTTTTGGAAAGAAAAGTTTGTTTACAGTGTGCCAAGAGCTAGCACAGTACAGTTATCAGAGTTAGTGCAGAGTAACCAGTACACCTTAGTTTACTGTCCAAACCTACTTCTCAGCAATGTCTTACCCCCCAAATAAAGTTAGAGTGTTAATGGTTGTGTGACTACTGAATGGATGTAACTGGGGAACACTGTTTATTTTCACAGCTTTTTCTTGTCTAACAAGTATGTACTAATTATTAAAGGTAGTTATTTTGATGTTGATCCTTCCAACGAGCTGTTGATACTGAATCTAGTCTCTCATTCAAAAAGAGAAAGTCACAAATCTTATCAGGATATAGATTGATGTAGACCCTGTTGAGGATGAGTGGTACTGGAGAAAACTGTGAAACGACTTTTGAGAAGTAGAATGTGTCAATATCTCTTGTGCTTTCAAGCAAAACTTCTAGCACTTACTGCTGGATTTAGATATTTTGTTGTTATCTGATGTGAAAAAAATCCTGGTTTTATTATCAGTGAGCTTTGTTTCTTTTCTGATTGAAATACTGGAGTGTTATGGTTAAAACATATTTATAGCATCAACTTGAGATTTTTTTTCTTGTGATTTTAGCTTTTTCTTCATCAGTTCTGCATCAGTTTAAAGACATGAGAAGTCAATAAAGATGTGCTGAATGTCAACAAACAAACCTTTTTTTACTTTTTTTTGAGCAGATGGACACCCAGTAATGGCAGCTGGGAGCCCAGTTGGACACATTGCTTTGTGGGATCTAGAAGACAAGAAGCTGATGTGTCAGATGCAAGATGCCCATTCCACAGCAATAGCTGGCATGTCGTTTGTCCCTGGAGAACCACTTCTTATTACTAATGGTGCTGATAATGCTCTACGGGTGAGTTACAAGAGCTGCTGCTGTCTGCTGTTACCTTTTTCTTCTCTGGGAGACCTGCAAAGTGTAAATGTTTAGTTTGGATTTGAAGCAGCAGTTCTCAAATGAAACAAATACAGCAAAACTCAAGTTGCTGGTTCCTCAGCTGGACTGTAGTTTAAAGATTTGCTACCATGGTGCCATTACTTCATTCACTGCTTTGTGGTAGCGTTAAAGAACAAAGCTTAAGATCCACTTTTCCAGAACCATACTTTATATCCTGGTACACTATCTTAAATCTTGATCCATTTTTATAACGTTTTGGATCACAAGCAATTGCTCTTGATAAAACTCCCTTGTGCTGCATGTCTTCTGGTGCCGTCAGCCTTTGGTGGAGGGGTGGAATGAACATCAGGAAACAATTAGTTTCTGTGACAGAAACTTCAAGAGTTTTAGGGTGAAGGATGAAAGCCAGCATGTGAAGTTTGTTGCACCAGCTCCCAGCTAAACCTGTTCCACTGACTAGAGGTGCACTTACTGACAGGGCAATGTTTATCAACCTTGTTTCTCTGCTTATTTTGGGATGCAGGTGTGGATTTTTGATGGACCTGGTGGTACAGGTCGTGTATTGAGAAGCCGAATGGGACACAGTGCACCACCAACAAAAATCAGATACCATGGGCAAAATGGAGAGCAAATTCTTAGTGCAGGTATGAGTTCTCATTTTTGTTTATCAACCTGATTTCTTGCTGTGATAAAGAAAATGCACACAACTAAGTGTCTTTGTTTTATTAATAAACTAGATTATATTTCATGTGTTGTGTATATGTATTTATGAAACATAGTAAGTAGCTAATGTAGACAGTGTCATTATTACTGTAGCAAACTGTTTCACTTAAGCTGAAAAGTTCGAAGCAGAATAACATCGGAGCTGCTTTTATTATCTGTATTTATGTATTTGATAAATAAAAATCGATCCATTATCTGCTGAGAAACTATCAGCTGTCAAAATGAAAACCTGTAACAGCTAGGGAAATCTGGTTGTGACAGGAAAAAAATAAACAGCATAATGCATTTAGTAACTGAGAGGAGCCACACCGCTTTTCCCACTAGTTTGAGCAAGCTTTGTTGCTTGTACTGTCTTTGTAATTTATTATGGCTCAGTTGTGTCTGTATTATATATTTTCAAGGCTGCTTCTTACCATGGTATTAATCTAGAAATGTAAAAATGCATGTGACTGCCCTTCCTTAGAAACTAGCATATTTAAAAATCTCTTAAAGGACCCCTTAGGAAATGATGTGCTAGATCAGACTGTTTTGTACTCCAGTGCACTTAAGTAATGGAATGGTAGAGACTCTTCACCTAGTCTTTACTTACTGTTAAGCAGTGAATTTTTTACGTGGGCAACATTTGACAATGTTACACTATGTTTTGATGAAATGTTACATCCAGTATGGCACAGCAATATAGGTGGTGCTAAAACTACATACTGAAATCTCTTACTGGCCATCCAACTATTAACTTGGATTCAAGTAACAAGTTCCTTGACAGTAATTCAGCTCACACAAGATAAACCACAGTATCAATTAAATCTTGCTTAACCAATCTTCACATTTGCTTTTGCAGTTTACTGCAAAACATATGGAGAGGACACAGAGGCAACCACTAAAATGAAAAGGATCTCAAGCTCTGAGATCTGATGTATCTGCAGTGTAAAGATACATCATAAAGATACTCTCTACATTCCTTTCTGAAACAGTGGTAAAACTTTGTGCAGCAGAAATGAGGTAGCAATGCTGTGAGGTGTCTTTCAGGTGCTAGTGGTTTCCTCAGAACAGGCATCTCTACTTTGTAAAATTTCACTGTTGTCACAGATTTACCTCATGCTTAACCTTTCTCCCAGTTCCAAATACACAGATCCTGACTTACGTCTCCATCACAGCGGCAAGGAAAGGTTGCTAGAATAGTATAATTGTTCAATTGTCTTTCAGATTCTTTAAGTTCACTTTGACTAAATTTCTGTTTCTTTACTTATTTGCGGTAGTAAAAGTGTTTTGTGATTCTTGTGATTTTTAAGAATCATCTCAGTGCCTTTAATTTTGCGTGTGTTGTGGAGTTTTGTTTTCTGTTGGGTTTTGGTTCTGCCTTGTCCGTATCTCCCCCACCAAGTGGACCTGTTTGCTAGTTTCAAATTTGAGCTTTCTATCTCTATATTAACTTCCTATCAGTTCTGTGAACATTGGTCACTGGGTAGAGTAGGAGAGTCCCATTAGTGTCCTGGTTACAGGAAAGATGGACAACCCAGCTTTTACCATTTTCCTTTGGGTTAGCTTGCTGAGTAACCTGTGTGTAGTTCTTAATCAGTCACAGCATGTATTGGTTAGAAAAATAAAGGAAGGAATGTTGTAGCTATTGAAGGGAGTATATGACGTCATGAGAAAGCTTTGGAAGTATTATGGAGGTATTTGAAGGATGCAACACTTTATTTAATGTTCTAATTGTTGAAAGCTGGGTCCAGCAAGATATTGTGGTAGAGAAAGGAGCAGGGACAGAGGAATTAACATGGAAAAGATGTCCATAAAGAGGTGTCATTCTGATCATGTGTGGGGCAAAACTGTAGGAATGGAATGTAGGCCATAGAAAACTAGGCTTCATTAGTTATGCTGCTTATAGTGTATCTGTATTTTTTCTTGGACCAGAATTTTTAGTAAATACTTTATGATGCTGTTTGAAGTTGCTTATTACTTATCCTTTTATTTTCATTTCTCAAATAGATTATGCATAAGTTGATTTTTGCCCTTTTCTACTCTGCTAATTTTTTGTCAGGTCAAGATGGAACATTGCAGTCCTTTTCAACAGTGCATGACAGGTTCAATAAAAGTTTAGGACGTGGTGAGTATTTCAGTCAAAGTACAAGTATTGGTGAAAAAAAGCTCTGAAAAGTGTTTATGTAAATGTTAAGCAGGCTTTATTTTCCCTTTAACTGTTGTATAAAAATTAGTCACCTCAGTTGTTCTGTGAACTCAGTCCTTCCTGCAAAGTGTACTTTCAGATTTGTTTGTACTTAAAAAAAGTAATTTCCATAGCCTGGCACTATATGCTCCTTCACCATGGGAAATGTTGGGCACGACTTTTGTATTTAAAATGTATAAGGCATTAGCTGACATTTAAGTATGTGTAATTACAACTTTTTACCATATTCCCCTTCTATTCAGTTGACTAAATTGATATTTCATATCTTGAGTTCCTTTGATCTAATGTAGAGTTTAACTTAAAACACATCTTGCACACAGTGCCATGATATAGTTTGGAGAGCAAGGATCAGAAAGACTAAAATAATTCTTAGTTTTAAGTGCTTATCTATATGGTTGTATATGTATTTAGATCTGTTTGGAAAGACATATGCAGATTAATTGGTTTTGTATGTATATCCTTTGGGTATAAATTTGAAATTCCCAACTCTTTGGTTATTGAAGGGGCTGGGTGTTACATATTGCTTTGTATAATCATGTCTGTATGACCATATTTTTAGCTGTAATGGGGGAACTTCTGCCTCAAGACTTCAGCACAAGATCCTGGAATAAATAGGCTGAGTAGTACATCTGTGTAAAAGGCTGGTGATTTGTTCAGTATCACGTGAATGTTGACAGGAACTCTGTTACTATTCTTACCTCTTCAAACCCTAGGGAACAGCACTGCTGTGTTTATATAAGCCAGATTTTTCTGTTAATAGGAATGTTATGTTTTGTTAACAGTCCTTTTTAAACCATTATTCTCATTTGTCATCATGAGACTGAGACACTTATTTTCTGTTTTTAAGGTTCAATTAACAAAAAGAAATCAAAAAAGAAAGGTCTTAAGCTTGACACGATGGCACTTCCACCAATTACAGCCTTTGCTTCGGGTAAGTGGTCTTTCACATACATTACAGAGTAAATGTTAATACAGTATCATCATATATTTTTTTTGTCTTTTAACCCTCAAGACACTACTGTTTTGAAAGCTCATAAGAAGATGAGATTATTGAGCATCTGTGGCCTTTCATGAGTTGTTGACAGGTTAAAATTATATTTTATTTTGTAAAGTTTTCCAATATTTCAAAAAAAGCATTTTCTTTTGAACGTTTGTCTTGCTCTTTGGCTTGAAAATCTCCTGCCAGAATCTTTTGGTGTATATATTATTCCAGCTGGAGAACCAGCAATTAGAGGGGGGATGAAGATCTTTTTCAGCTGAGGAAATCTTAGGAACAATGTCTGATTTTGATTCCTCAGCTCTTTCATTTCAGTGACTTTTCGATGTCAAAGTTCAAGTAATCTGTTCATTTGTAATTCAGTATGCAGATAAAGAGCCTAACTTTTTTGAAGCAGGATAACAATTATCTTTGCTTCATCAAAATGTACTTCTTTAAATTAATGACCTCCTCTTGAAGTCTGTTTTGTCTTAAGTATAAATATTTTCTCTTCTGAGGATGGTTTATTGTTTCCTATGTTGAAAGATCTGGATTTACAGTTTCGTGTAGCCATTTGACACATATGACATTCACATTTGTAGTGATACAGACATTTATACTTCAGTGATACAGACTATCTGTACATACTAGTTGCAAATATCTCTATGTATTTTTAAAATTTATATTTAAATACAATTAATTTTGAATTAATTATTTTTAAATTAATATTATACCTTCCTGCATTTGGAGACATAAACCCCCCATTTATTTAAATACGTTATGGAGTTGTTTCCTTTTTGCTGTCTTGTCTTTGGTAAAATGAACCTGTGTGTATCTCCTTTTAGTCTTTAAAGTTCAAGAAATATCCAGTTTCAAACTCTCAATTTTTTTTAATGTATATATTATGGAAAAAAGGCAAACTTGCTCATTATTTAGACTTTTATATATAATGTTTGACTACAAAGTTTGGATACTGAGCTTTGGAGAAACAAATTTTCCTGGAAATGCAAAAAAAGTGTTTTGCTGTGTGGAGCAGATTTAGCTCTTAATCCCAGCTTTAATTTGTTATATAGTGGCTTCTGCTGCTTCAACAACTGAAGAAACAGCTAACAGACTCAGCTGGAAATGTGTACAGATGGAGCAATTTAAGCCACTTGCATTGGAATACGCTTTTCAAACTGCATAGGCTAAAACATACAAAGACATAAGACATCCAAAAAAATGCTTGTGGTTCTGTTAGCATTTATTTGCACTACCACATGCACAACATTTTGCCAGGTGTTTTTTTCTCTATGGCAGCCTTTCAACTGTGCAACAAGAACAATAAATATGAACTGTTCTGTCTAAAGTTATTTCAAAATACTCTTTCCTAAGATATCAGAAAAGCTTGTTTGACTTTAGAATTACTGTTTGTAAAAGGACTATATGTTGCATTTGCAGAAGTGGCACATCAGAGTGACTGGGATGGTATTATTGCCTGCCATCAAGGGTATATAACCTGCACAACCTGGAACTATCAGAAAACTTCTATGGGAGCTCATAAACTGAGGCCTGAAGAATTTAGCAAGTACAAACCTATTGATATATATGCAACAGTAAGTTTATTTCTTATAATGTTTCTTCAGCATTACATTGTATGTAAAATGCTTTACAACTTGAGTTGGACACGGTGACATTGTGTTGAACCCACAATGAAGGCAATACAAATGTTTACTGAGCTTTACCTGCTTCGTAGACGAGTAGTTACTGTGGCACACTTCATGTGCTAGGCATTGAGCAACTCCTATATCTTGTGATAAATTGTTTTTCTGACCTTGTGTGTAGTAGTTAAGTGGTAGATAAAATAAAGTTAATTTTAAGTACCTGGTTTTCTTTTGGCTACTGAATTGCTTTGGACTGTATTTTTCCAAAGACAGCTAGACCATTGTTTCTTTGTTTCTTGCTATTTAAACTCTGTGTGAACTTGCCTTATTTTAGGGTGCCACAGGCAGTATGGACATTCAAAGAGGCATGCAGTCACCATGCTTACACTTTATCTTAGGGATTGAATTTGTGGACGTCTTGATTTTTTGGGTTACACTGTTGAAATTATTACATATGGCTTCTGATGGATGTCACTAAACTTTCATCACCAAGCAGTGACCTTTTCATTACATGTTGACTATTTGCTTATTTTAAGAGCTCCTCCCTCTACTTTTTTGAGATGTAAGTTGTTGGTTCTGTGCAGGTTTCCTTGAAGAAGTCTAATAAAAATATATTAGTATTTTGTATTCCTACATATTTCATATGCTACGTATCATCTAACAACTTTGCTAATTGATATACACTCAGAGAATTTTTTGTCATAGGTTCTTTGTTTTGTTGTTTGTTTTTTATTCCCTTGAAAGGCAGTTGATATTACCTCATGTGGTAACTTTACTGTAATCGGGATGTCAACTGGACAGGTGGATGTGTATAACATGCAGTCTGGCATTCACAGAGGGCGTTATGGCAAAGAAAAAGGTAAGGATTGCTAGACTTTTAAAATACTGGCTCTGAAAAGAACAGCAGTAACCTGTTGTTCTGTCATCTAGCATATTTAACATAGGTTCTGAGTTGAATTTGGGAATCTTTTCAGCGTCTCTGATTACCATACACTGTCCTATGATGCACTGCAGTCAGAAACCTCATTTGAAGGACAGGATCCTTGCTAGTTTTAACAGGTCTGATGTTAGCATATCCTTGGTTTTAATTAACACAAAATTGTCAGTTCCAAGATGGTTAGCACCAAAATGAAATCCTCTGGCCTCTGCTCTTTTTGAGATAAGCACATTTCTTGGCTTCTTGTTACAAGGTTCTGTCTCTGAGATAAATTTTCCCATCTGTTTTGTGCTCCCTGCTTAAAAATTAAAGAATATTTTACGTGAGTTGGAAATTAAAATCCTAAACAAGTCTATTTCTTTTCATATGGTATTATTTTTAATTACCCAGCTTCAAAATTATGACGTAATGTGACAGTGTTCTGTCGTTTCCTTTTAATGGTTGCATATATATATATTTCATGTCATGTATCCTCATGCATGTTTTTTGGTGCTCAAGATCTGAATGTTTTGTTGTAGAAACAAGGAAAGAACCTCTAAACATTACTGGATTTTTAAAAGCATAGGAAACATGAAGTGATCTCCTAATAAAATAATTGGTTGATAACAGGATGACTTTTCTAATTTTATTTACTGGCCAGTAGCTTTAGGCATAGATAAAGAAATAAAATTGATCCAAACCCAGAGGAGCTATGTATTGTCTTTACACTGCACTGTAAAGTAGCCTAGGAAAACTTCCAGACTTTGTGCTGGAACCAAAGCTGGAAATTTTTTCTGGAGTGGTCTGGCCTCCTGGAGGCATTCCCTAAGTGATTCAAAAAGTCTCTCAAATCTCACACTCACAAAAAACTTCCCAAAACTGAAAACAGAAATATGAGCTAATATTCAGCTTCAGCTGCTCACAAATTTTTACTTGTATTCCACGTGTTTACTTGAAAGCAGTTTGGTTTCTGTACAGGTTAAAAAAAAATATGATATTGGAGCAGTCTTGTCAGGTGGCTTTAGAATTGTTTGTCACTTGCTTACTGCTCATTTAGTGTAGTTAGGCAAAGACATACAGAATGGTTTTTGGCATTCAGTTGATTTCTATGCTAAGTTTAAATTCTGAAATAGTACTTTCTTTTCTCTTGATTTGCAGCACATGAAGGGGCCATTAGAGGGGTAGCAGTGGATGGATTAAACCAGCTGGTAATCACAGCTGGTAGTGAAGGATTAATTAAATTTTGGAAATTCAAAACTAAAGAGCTAGTTTACTCCACTGAACTTTCTTCTTCTCCAAGTGCAATTCTGCTTCACAGAGATAGGTAAGAAACTGAAGCTATTCCATGTGCATGTTGTTTTGCTGGACGTATTTGTCTGAAATGGCAACCAGCATTCTAATTAAGTTTATATATTTGATGCTTTGAAATATAACTGACTACCAGACACAAAATAAAATTATTACAAGATATTTTATTAGACTGAAGGAGTATAATACTGATATCCGAAATTATTTTAGGATAAAAGATACCTGGAGCAATGTTAGGATATTTTTTGTCTCTCGAGTATTCACTATCTTATGTGTTAATGTTTCTTGGCAGTGGTATTCTGGGAATTGCCTTTGAGGACTTCAGTATTAGTGTTTTGGATATAGAAACCAGGAAGATTGTCAGGACATTCTCAGGACACCATGGACGGATTAATGACATGGTAATTGTTAACTCATTTTCTGTAAAGGTGACATAGACAGATACGTAATTAATTTTAAAGATAATTAATTTCTCTGTAGGTATTAAGTCACTGAGTATTATATTCAGCTGTGAATTGTGGAGTTGTAGTTCAACTCTACAGCAGTTTTGGCCATGTTAGTTTTCAAGTTAAAATGTATAGTGTTGGAATGGCCATCTATTTTTAATGTACTTTGGGATTTTACTATAATTTTGCTAGAAGCTGCTTTTGGGTCAAACAAAATAAAGCATTAGGAGTAATGAAAAACACATTGAGAAGCAAAATTGTACAGTAGTCTCAGCTGTGTACATAGAAGAGATGAGTCAGGTGTAAACAGATCTGAGATTACACTACACAATGACCATTCCTTATTTACATCTTATGTAATAGTGTTTTGTAGAGTTCATTACAGTAGTTTTTAATTCTAAATGCTACTAAATGAGTATTTATTTCATTTTTTCAATTTTATGCTTAGTGGTTTTCATCACTAACAGTCAAAGCACTTTGGTCCTGACTTTTATAAGTCAGATCTGTCCTGTGTCACATATTTAAACCTGTTTCAAAATAGCTTTTCTCACTTAAAACAGTGTGTTTTCGGTTTTAGTTTATCACCAGACCATTTCATCGTGGTTTTAGGCAGCAGTCTAATCTTGACAGTGCCTCTTGTAGGGATTGGCTTGTCCATTGTGCCATTAAATTGACTATTTTATTTTAGACTTTCAGTCCTGATGGTCGTTGGCTAATAACTTCATCAATGGACTGCACCATTAAGACTTGGGACCTTCCCTCTGGATGGTGAGTCACTTTAAAAACATATAGCAGAACTAATAATCTCATGTCTGATAAATGGCAAAAAGCCTTCTGGCTTGATTATCTGTCACCAACTTGTGCTATGTGATATTCAAAGTTGCACATGGCATAACAACTCAGTTCTCAGTATTTTAGTTGTGTCCAATGCAAGACCCTTTTTCTGGGTCTGCAGAATAACAGCATCTTTAAGATCTGTTGAGGACACCTGGAGTTGAGGACACTCACAGTGTCAGTGAGTGTTAATTTGTTCTTTGTCTGGAACTAGCACTATAATCTAAAGGTCAAGAGGTTGCTTAAGCTGAACTGCATTGTGATATGCTGAAGTATTCATGGGATCATGCCATCTATAATGCAGCTGTCTCCTTTGAGAACACACGCAGGATCACTCTCAAGGAAAAAAGGCAACGCAGAAAGAACCGTGTCTTGCAGAATATACCATCTAAGGAGTCTTTCTGCTGTGCCTTTTGCAATCGGATATGTCTGTCACATATTGACCTCATAAGCCACCAGCGTGGCTGTAGCAAATGTGGATAGAGCCTTCCCAAATCTTCGTTCGCGAAGCCTAGCCATGATGACATAACATGGGATCATAGAGTGTTTTGAGTGGGAAGCGAGCTTCAAAGATCTAATTCAACTACCGTGATGTGGACAGACACTTCTTTCACTAGACCGGGTTACTCAAAACCCCCTCCAACCTGGCCTTGAGCACTTCCAGGAATGGGCCATCCACTTGGCAACTTGTTTGTGCAACCTGTTTCAGTGCCTCACCACTCTCATCATAAAAAATTTCTGCCTTGTATCCAGTATAAACCTACACCCTTTCAGTTCAACACTGTTGACCCTTGTCCTTTCACCACAGGCTCTGTTAAAAAGTCTAACTCAACCTTTCTTACAAGCCCCCTGTAAATACTGAAAGACCACAAAGTCATCTCCCCAGAGCCTTCTGTTCCCCAGCGTGGACCCTTACCAACTCTCTCAGCCTTTCTTCGTAGGAAATGTGTTCCAGTCATTTTCCTGGACTTGCTCTAACTTTATATCTGTCTTGTGCTGGGAGCCCCAGAGTTGGATGCAGTACTCCAGATGGTTTTGTAAATAGAAGCCTGTTTTCACTTATATTCATTTTAGCACACAATAAGGCTTTATGTCAGTTATATTTTTAATTGCAACTGCCAAAAATTCTCCTTCGTGATCTGCTGTGAGTAGGCTTCTCCCAGAGTAAATTTGGCCGAGAAATATATGAGTACACACAGGAAGTTCAGGAGCCCAGAAAAAAACAAGCTGAAAAGTAACTTAGAGTTCTGTCAGTGCATTTTTTTAGCAGCACATCAGATAGATTTATTTTTTTTACGTAATTTAAGGCAGTGCTATGCAGCGTGCAGTTCTGGTGATCACTAAATGGTTTCACTGATTAGTTGATGTGGTATGGTCAATAATTTTGTATACTGTTAGAAGTTTTACTACCTAAAGCGTGTTGAGTATCAACAAACAAATAACCTGTTCTTACATAATGAATGACGCTAGTCTAAAATAGGACAATGTGATGGTTTCACTCTAGATCTTCCTGGAGACCAGCTTGTAACCAGGAGGGAACTAGGGTAATGACTTAAGAAGTATTCCATGCTATTCCTTTCCGTAGCACAACATATAAAAGGGTGCAGATAAGAGAGCTTGTTCTCTTCTCTCTTCCGGTGGTTGAAGGGGACAGGTCTCTCTGTAGACAGGCTTTGTTTATATAGGCCAGGGCCTGCTGCTCAGACCTGCCGTTATCTCTGGTCTCTCCGCGAGGCGTGGGGGAGTTGGCTGCTGCCTTGCACAGCTCTGCTGTCCCGATCAGGGAAGTATTTAATTTGTTTTTATATTTATTGACTAGCTCTCTATTAACAGGTATATTGAGGAGATATTTGTTTTTAGGCTTCTTTTTATCCCTGTTTCCCCCTCCCTTTTCCCTTTTTTTCCCTCCTCCTGGGAGCTCCCTGTTGTGGATAATATATTCAAATTGAATATATATAATTGTAAATATTTTTTTTTTTATAGAATCCCGTTTCATTCAAACTTCTTTCAGTTTTTTTCCCATGGTTCGTTTTTTCTTCCCTCTCTGGGAAGCAGGCCTTGTTGTCAAGTTTTGGAGACTTGGCAGGAAGCCAGCTCGAAACTTGCACAGACAGGATGGACATTAAGTGTTGTCTTTCCAGTATAAATGGGAAGAAAATTAACACTCTGTTTGGACTTCATCTTTCTAATACTCTTTCCCTTCCAAAATAATGTGCCTGCAAAAAATTGCAGTATTAATTAATGTCAGTTACTTCGTTTCTTTGATAACATAACACTTTGCAGTAATAATCTATTCATAATGTTTTTGAAAGTACCCTAACAATAGTTCTTGTTTACGTAACAAAATTACATATTTTGTCTCTTCTCTCTGATGGCAAGAAATTCAGATCAAGCTGAAATCTAGGAAGATATATGACAAACCCTGCTTTTGAAAGTACTTAGGTTAAATTATTCTTCCAGAATGTAAAGGCCAGGTTTTCCCTTAACTGTAGGAAGAGGAGTGTATTGTGTCGTGGTTTGAGAGCCCCAAAATCCAATTCTCGAGTCCAAGCCCCCCCCCCCCATATCAACCCAGTGTGAGATGGGTTTTCCAGACACCACACAAGACTCAAAATGGGGGGGAAAGGGAATTATATTACAATGACTATACAAATAAATATTACAATACATCATATACAATCATAACTATCTCTCCTATAATTAATCAGTATTTACAATGGATCAGTCTCTTCTCCCTTCAGTAAAAGTCCAGAAGGGAAAAGGAAAGATCCTTTCTACTCTCAGAGCAGCAGTGTCTCTAGGACAGCAGTCTCTCTCTCTCTCTCCCATGCAGCAGCTGTAGCTGGATCTCTTTGAAACCTGTGTCTACCAACATGCTGAAGGAAATGTTGGGGGAAAAAATGCAGGGGGAAAAAAGGCTTTTATTTTTAACATGGTCTGTCAAACCATCACAGGAGTGCATAGTATTTAAGAAAATACATACCCACAGGATTTTACATTTTAAACTGCTTTGTTACATCTGTATTTTTTCTACGGTTAGTGAGCAAAACAAGGTTTTATACCTAGCTGCTCTCATCAGTTCTCACTTTGCTTTTGATTTTGGTCCGTAAACAAGAGCAAGGTATTCCAGCTCTCCATTTTTCTCTTTGTTTCTCTCAGTAAACTAGTTGTCAAATTCAACTTTTACTTACATTTTGAAGTAAATAAAATTTATACCTCAACAAGTGACAAGCATGCTATGAATATGAACCTGGACTGGAGTGGAAGTCTGGCAGGGCACGCATCGTCCAGGACTTATGGCATCATCCAGAACTCAAATGTCACTCTGTTAGAATAGTCACATACTACTGAATATTTTAACCTTGTTTTTGCATGGTATTTTTTCAATTTTCTGCAATAGTGAAAGGAATGGTCAAGGAGTAGTATATCAGGCTGAAGATGTGGTAATGTCAAAACTGTTGCAGTTAGTCAAATTTTGCATTGTACAGTCCATTCTTTACTTTGGAAGCATGAGGTGCAAGTATTACCCAGCTGTATGTGAAGTGTATTGATAAAGGGAATTATCAGTTAAATGCAGAGCATTAAAAGATGAGGTCAGAGCAACATGGGGCTGTTAGGGAGCTCAAAATTTATGGCCACTAAGAAGGTTAGCATTAGCCATAAGGAGTTAAATGTGGACAGATGGTTCATCACATTTTCCACAGAATGTGGATGTCTAAGGAGGTGCCAATTTTAGAGAATTTTATAGAGATGAGTGGTTTGATGCACAGTGCTGTTCACTTGCTAAGTTTATGTAATATATTTGAATACATCTAATACCCTGATTTGTGTGCATACTTCCAGTGTTCTGTTTGCATTCAGCTGTAATTCAAATATGCATAGATAAACAAGTTCGTCTTGCTGAGAATTTCTCTGTTGTGTTTCTTCTCCCTAGCCTTATAGATTGTTTTTTGGTGGACTCTGCAGCTGTGAGCCTTACTATGTCACCTACAGGAGATTTTCTAGCTTCAGCACATGTGGATGATCTTGGAATTTATTTGTGGTGAGTGTATAATAGTTGTGTTTCTACACAGATTTTCAGATGGGAAAGAATTCTTTTAATCACCTTCATTGCAAATAGAGAATTGCTCTGTGAAGTGTCATCTCCAGTGTTTGTCTCATTGTAATTAAGGGAGATATTCTGTGTTGCTGAGATTCATAAATCTTGACATTTCCGCAGTTAAGGTATTTATTCTGATAATTAAATTATCTTTTTTCTAAATATTTCTTTCTTATTCTTAAAAATTCCTGTTATGCCATTCCTAAAGTTTTTCTTTGTCTCTATTTTTTTTTAACCCCTTTGAAATGTCTTTATTCAAATAGTGTTTCTTTTTGAAGTGCTTTTCTTGTCCTGCTACACAGCATTGTCTGAGACTTGTGAGTAGTATTTGAAAGTTGTGATTATTTCTCTTTATTAGTGATAAATGAGCACAGAGGTAACGTGTTTTAGTTCAATTTCCTCCTGATAGGGTTTTAAAGCAAATGAGTGCTTAGGTCAGTACTGGAGTAACACACCATTTAAGTGTTTTGGGGTTTTTCCCCTTTCATTTGATAGATCTTTCAGGTTACATATGTTGACTGTAGTTTTGCCTGAGGAGTGTTCAACTGTTAGACCTTCCTTGTGAATAATGACAAATATTTTTACCTAGCCCTGGTTTATATTGGCAGAAAAAATAATTTACCAGAGAAATAATTCAGCAGAATGACTTGTGTACATGTTCCTTAATCATTATTAAATGTTCTTGGCAATAATACTTCAGCACAGCCTTTATGTTTCAGATTTTCAGGTGATATCTGTTGATGTGTTTCATTTCTTGTTTATCTGGTAGATTAGAAAAACTGATCTTGACTAGAACCTGGTGAATTGCTATAATGCAATAGTTTTAGACTGCAGTAAAAATCATGTCTAAAGTGCTTGTTCCCATTCACCTGAAGATTGTTTTTAAAATGCCTGTCTTATTTTGCAGGTCAAACCGTTCTCTGTATTCACTTGTGTCATTACGGCCCCTTCCTGCAGATTATGAGCCTTCTTTGGTGACACTCCCTAGCACCTGCCCTGTGCAAGGTAATTTTCAGATGAAAGCCTATTTTATTTTGAGTTTGCTGTTATATTTCAAATAGAAGATGATTTGCTTCCTCAGTGACAAACTCATTGTGTCTTACCATGCCTTCTCTGAGCTGTTCCTAATGCTTCCACTGTTTTTGGCATGCTTACTCATATGCTAATACTATTTACTAAAATCTAGTCATGTTTCTATGTTCAGACGCATGGAATTACATTGTGATGATTTCAACATCTTTGAGAAGATTTTTTTTTTTAGGTGGCAGAAACATTGTGCTATTTACTGGCTTTCTTTAATCCCAGACTTGTGTAAATACCTTATGTTTTGACGTTTGTGGGGCCAGTTTGAAATTAACATTACTGTCTAGCAGTGGGAGGGAGATTGTTCTTTATTCCACTTCCCTCGCAACTTGTTCTTTATTCCACTTCCCTCGCAACTTGTTTCTCTCCTTGTGTGCCACAGTATATTCACTGCTATGTGTTGTCTTGTTGGCAAGAGAATTGGGTTCAGCTGACCCTGCCTGTCTAGATTCCTAGTGAAAGAAAGGCCTAAATGGCATTTTAGCTGCATTTAATCGAAATGATTGTGCTTCTGAGGTCCTCTAGGTGGCGATCTTGTCTGCCCAAGTTTTGCAGTGCTTGCATTTCTCTCTCTGGAGGAGAAACACCTAGCCATGGGCCGCTAAAAGAGCGAGGAACATGCTTGACGATGACTGCTTTATTAAGCACATACTTATTTGAGATACTTAAATTAGGGAGACAGGATTTCATCCAAAAATTCTGAATGTTTTTAACCTGATTCTGGCTGAAAGCTTCAATCTACTTCCTGTTTTCAGCAAATGTCAAGTTCCTGTTTAGATGCTCAGAGCTCTTAATGGTTTTTACAGGTCTTTGTTGTTGTAGGCTTTTCTATTAGATTCATTGTTTTAGCCATGTAGCATTTTGCAAAAAAAAAAAAAGGGAGAGTAGAGATGTTTGGTCAAGACCACAAAGGAAGACCAGAGAAAATCTTAGGACAGAAATTTTGCTGTGGGATGTTGTGCTTTAATGTTGAGATTTTCTTCATTTTTATGTGCCACTTCAGTCATACCTGTGAAGAGATTGTGATGAGGTTATGAATATGGTACATATTTAAATGCAAAGATTTTACAGCTTTGTAAAGTTTGTAGAACTAAAATTTCTGTGGATATATTTAAAAAGGTTAATAAAATTTTAACAGTAATTCATTGTTCTTTTAGAATTCTATAAATTGTTTTGATATAATTTCAGCCAAAGTGGACAAATCTTATCAGTCTTTAAAATTTTGTTTATCCAATTCTGCATTTTAGCTATAAGTTTTTTAAATCTAAACATTATATTTCATAAGGTTAACAAGATTCTGTAGCTTTTCAGCTCTGAGTTATGCTAGCACTTATGTCCATAACTGTTAAGCATTTGTTATTCAAAAATTGCAAGATACATAATAATACTGGGTTTGATTAAAAAAAAAAAATGGAGTCTGTATATTCATAAACGATATCTGTTCCTGAAAGATGAGGATATGTCAGGAGAAGAAGAGCCGTGTGATGAAATGATGGAATATGTCACACCTGAGCAGTTGGAAGAGCAGCTGGTGACCCTTTCCTCCTTACCGGAATCAAGATGGAAGAACCTCCTCAGCCTTGATGTTATCAAGGTACTGAAACTGTGGAAAAAATAGCAAACAGCCAGACATATTTCCCCTTGTTCTATGAGAGGCATTACTGATTCATGAAATTCGATCCCTCTTTTCAGGTATTTTCAAGATTTTGCTGTAGAAAGCCATAAAGTGCTTTTCAGAATTCCTGGGATTTGGGAGAGGAGTTGTTTGTCTTCTAAATAGTATCTTCGCATTTACTAGCAAAACTTTTACCTATGTATTACTTTTCAATTAGTGTTTAGAGTTTTCATAGTATTTTAAAAACAGAACTCTTGAAAAAAAAAAATTCCCATGTATTCTTACTATGATGATGATTATTTTAATTCAAATATCTAATTAACAGAAAAAAAATAAACCAAGAGAGCCACCAAAAGTTCCGAAGGCAGCACCTTTCTTCATACCAACAGTTCCTGGTCTTATACCCCGATACATTCCACCAGAGGAAGAAAAAGATACACAGGTAAAACCAACAAAAATTATAACTTTTTTTTATCTAGTATATTTTCAAAGAAATCTTAAATGCTTTTTAGTGCTGAGTGAAATTCCTACTGACTTTAAAGTGCCAGTTTTAACTCATTCCATTAATGCATATTTGCCAAAGTCTTTTATTCTGTCAGTAGGGAAATAATCTAAGTTGTAAAAATATATTTTCATATTTATGTACACTCTTTTAATACTTTTGTGGTCTAGTCAAAGGTAGTAAACCTTGGAGTACTGGCACAGAAATCTGATTTCTGCGTTCATCTTGAAGAAGCCCTGAGCACTAATGAATGTAAGTTAATAAAATACTTCACTAAAAATGTTGATACTGCTTATGTTTTGACATACATGTGCTTTCTAAAGTCAGAATTGTAACACATGGGAGGCAAAAATATGCATAGTACAGCAGCAAAGAGAATGACCTAATTAATGCATAGATAGCCAATCTAGGTCAAGATCCATTGGTACTCCAGCTTGCCTGCAGCGTGGAATCCTTACAAAGAAATGCTGGCTAAAACCATTCTAGGAAGAGAAGGTAGTGCTCCTGAGATCATTAGCCTTTTTGGAGACTGTGGTGGTCTTGCCCAGAAAAGTGCTGTGTATTATTTGTAGGGGAAGGAAGGGATTGATTTGGTAAGAGATAGTCTGGTGATTTACTGAAACATGAAAAACATAATGTCCCTAGGAAGTTCTCCAAAGGGCTACTTCTCTAGGCATTCAGCAAACTTACACCTTTAATTAATTGTTTTATAATTTAAAGCTTAAGAAGAAATGATATAAAAATAAGATGTTGGATTTCTTTGAAACCTATTTTGAAATTTAATCACTTAAATTGCCTTTGGCATGTACCAGCTTAACTTGTGCTCCTACAGAATCGTTGAAACTTAGTTGTTTTGAAAATGATTGCTAACATAGCTACCTTGGAAATGTAAATGGAGATTCACTGGCAGTTTGTCTACAAAGCAGTTCTGTTGGGAATTCTATTACCCCTTCTTGAACTCTTTTGAGTTGCTAGCTTACTCAACTGCACTTGAAACATTTTGTGTGCAGAACTTTGTCACAAATGAGGCGTGTTTTTATACTGTGTTTTTAGTATTTCTAATTGATAGTATTCTATTAAACTGCTTCAGGTGAATATTTAAGAACCCTACCAAGCATCTAGAGGCTGGCTGTACCAGGGAGCAAGTGCACTCTTTCCCATATTGTATGTGTACCAATTTCATAACATGTTCTGTGCTTAGTTTTTTTAATAGCACAGAAGTTATTTAATGTATCTGTTTAGTACTGTTCATATCATAATTACATTTAAAACTAGCTAATGATTTTCATAGGAATCAAATACAGATTTATACCACCTAAAGAATCTTAGCCAGTGTCTAATACCATTAATTACCAAGATATGAGAGTCTTTGGGAATGATATGGGAATTTGGTCTTCTTAGTAACTTCTTAAATTACATTTTTAAAAGTGTTTCAACCATCAGTTGCATTTGCAACCAAACATGTTTTTGCTTCCTCATTTTTAAAGCAAGTGGGTGGGATTCTCATAGGTAATCAGGTAGGATTGTAGAAATCCTGAGGAGGAACACTTATGAAGAGGAGGAAAGAGTTTTAAATTGCATGTATTTCTACCATGAGAAATATTTTTCCACCACCCCCCAGGTCCCAGAAAAAGCAGGAGGAATTCACTTGACAAAAGCTATAATTACATTAGATGCACCAGATGATCCCCAGTTTTGCTTAATGTCAATAACAGTAAAGATGCCTAGTAAAAAATAGTACCTTATCTCTTTCAGAGCATATTCACTGTTTTAGTAGCTTGAAATCTCAAGTGTATACATTCTTTTTGCCAAGAGATATAAAATGACAGTGCTATGTGGTTAATAAGAAATTTTGTTCAGCTTAAAGGACAGAAAACGGGTTGGGGGGGAAATGAAACAAATATAAAGGTGTTACTTGTATTTTTCAAGATGAACTGACAAATAAAGTACATGTGTCTTATTAGAAATGTACTTCTCTAGTATGTGATGGGACAGTAAATTAAAGGCAGGAAGGCATTTTGGTGTAAACAAAGTAGTAAGGAAAGAGTAGGAACTTGAAATTCATAGTCACTGCTTAAGAATTTTGGAATAAACCTGTCTTACGAAGGGTTTGTAAGGTACTTGTCTGCAGATGTTCCTGATAACATCTCATTCAATGTTTTAACACAGATGAAGTTCCACTTGACCTACTGAAAAGGTTGGGACCATCTAATACTGAGATAGAACTACGAGGTTTGGCCCCTGAAGGTGGTGGCTCAATGGAGGTGATGCTGAGCTTTTTGAGAATGATTGGGATGATGCTGAACAAGAAGTACAACTTTGAACTTGCTCAGGCATACCTTGCATTATTTTTAAAGGTAATAATTTTCTTAAAAAATTAGTCCTGTTTAAAATTATGGTTGTGCAGTAAAAGGATATAACTTGTCTGCTTGAAAGAGTATCTTAAATGATTTTGTTTGGGAATGGTTTTAAAATGTCTAACTGAATGTATTGGATGATTTGACAACTCATCTGATCACAGTCAAGAAAAATTTGCAAAAAAACCCAGGTATTCTGAATAGGACCCTGGCAGCCAGGTTTTATTCTAGTATTTTTTATTTAGAATTGGTTTTATTTTTTTGTAACAAAAATGGTTGTTAATTGTTAAGCTGATACATGCTATGTCTTAAGTAGGCAAAGAATTTAATGCACAGTGGTTGGGAAAGTAAATTAGAGATTTTGTTGGACTTACCACTATACATTGCAAGCCTGACTTACTTTCCATGTCAGTGGGCTTCCTTTCCTCTGTTACCTGTTAAGCATCACAGAGCTAGTGAAATAACTCCCAGGTCTTGTATAAGTCAGAAAGTTATTTGGATGAAGCACAGTATAAGTTAATCTTAGAGAGAAAGTCATTCTGCAGAAGATTGAAACCGTTCTGATATACAAGTGCTTAAGATACTCTGATTTATGAAACCATGTGAAAGCAATTAATTACAGTTTACTGGTGAAACATTGTTATAAACATTCAGGCACCTTGTAATACTGGGACATTTATGGCTTCTCTGGGCAACCTGTTCCAGTGCCTCTCCACTCTCACAGTAAAGAATTTCTTCCTAATATCCAAACTGAACCTACTCTCTTTCAGGCTAAAGCTGAATAGCAATACTCCCAGATTTAAATTGTAGCCTGGAAAACAACTATTCCATTCATTAAATGGTAATAACTGCTACAAGATCGAAAGGTTTTTTTTCCTTCTGCTTTAACAAGGTTACAGTTTATTACATGAAAAGATATCATCCGTCTGTATTGGTATAGAGTGTGCTGGCATCATTCTTTCTGCTGTATGCAACACGGATAACTAAAATAATAATCCTGATTGACCTCAGGGCATCTGTCTAGCTTTTCTAGCCTAAAGAGGAATTTATGATGCAAATCAGAAGGAGGAGAAAGTTATGCTCTAGAAGAGTGTGTGATTAGGATAGATTCAGCAGCTTAGGTAGAAGAAGATCTAGTAAAGCAGTAGCATATTGAAGACATTTTGCTGCCTTGTCTCATTTAGTACATATGTGGGAGTAAAATGGTTTGGGTAAAACTAGCAAAAAGGAGGCAACATGGAATAGAGGGAATTAATTCAAGGTAAAAGAATTCCTTACTTGGAAGGCAAAGTATTTCCCGAAGGCAAAGTATTGAAATTGAATTTTTTTACTATCTGTATTTGTTTCACTAACTCCTTGTTTTCATTTTCAGTTACATCTGAAGATTCTCTCGTCAGAACCAAACCTATTGGAAGAATTATCCAAATTGTCAGTGCAACTCGAGGACACTTGGATTCGTTTGCAGACTCTCTTCAATCAGAGTCTGTGTGTTTTAACATATATGAAAAGTGCTCTGCTGTAAAATACTAATGGTTTTGTCTGCATAAAATCTCCCTCGGAATAATAATACAATTCATTACCAAAAATACCAGATTCCAAAAGTCATACTGGGTCTTAGAAACATAGAATCATTAAGGTTGGAAAAGAGCTCCAAGATCGAGTCCAACCTTTGACTGAATACCTCCCATGTCCACTAAGCTATATCACTAAGTGCCACATTTACTCTTTTTTTGGGTACTTCCAGGGATGGTGGCTTTATCTCTTCCCTGGGGAGGCTGTTCCAGTGCTTCTTCTGATGCTGTATTTTATACATCTGGGTATGGCAGAGTATTTTAGAACATGCAAAACTACATATTTTTGTTGAGTTGGAGCAAAAATTAGTATGTGCAGCTATTCATGTTCTATTGGTTCTTGCTGTCAGTGAACAGACAGTTGAATTCAAGGCCAGGTTGGACAGAACTCTGAGCAACCTGGTCTAGTGGATGGTGTCTCTACTCATGGGAGGGGGTTTGGAACTAGATGATATTTAAGGTCCCTTCCAGCTCAGGCCATTCAATGATTCTATGATTCTGTGGCTATAGATAATGTAGCTAGTTACCTTAGGCTTTCATGGCCAAAACTGTAGATCAGAATGAAAAAATTACTTGGGAGAAAAAAAAAAAGAGGTGGGAATGTAATTTCTGTGCAGGAGACCAAAATCTATGTTGTGTTTAATAAAGTTATTGTTTTTGCAAAAATAAAACAAAATGTCTGAATTATTAACATTTTATTAACATTAGTTTAAAGCAATTTAATCTAAAAATTGTGCTCCTCTGCTATTAGAGTGCTTTTCCTATGAAGTTTGTAAAAATCAGTCTTTTTCTGACTTTGGCAAGCTGTGTTCTGTAGCTGCAGACATGTGTTTCTGAATGCAGATATTTCCAACTGTACTACAAATACTTGAAGTTTAAAAAAAAGAAACACCAAACTAAACAAACAAACAAAAACTTTCACTCATTTTTTATAATCAGGTTTTTTGGATGCTCAATTTCTTCTGAAAATTATGTTTCCTTTCTTAAGGAGAAGAGATTACCAGAATAAAAGCTCTGAGTTTTGGGGAATTTTAATTGAATCAGATGTGGTTTTTACAAATTAATATTTAGGTTTCAAACAATAAGATTTGGGCGTTGTTTGGGAACTCATGAGTGAAATTATCAACTTTGCATTTTGAGAGTACTTCCTCACAGCAGAAGAATCTCCTGAATGAGGCCTTGGTATATTTCACATGCTTCAGCTACATACATAGTCTAACAGAATAACTGACACAAATATATGCAATTTCAATGGGTAAACTTCAAAGATGGATTCATTGCGTTTGGCACAAGACTGAGACAAGGGTATGGTTTTGTCATGCTGTATGTGTAATTTTTCTTTTTTTCAGTGCCATCACATTATAGAACTCATTTATCTATACTGGAACAAATTATCTGCAAACACAGAGTAATCAGAGAATCATAGAACAGTTTGGGTTGGAAGGGACCTTAAAGATCATCTGCCATGGGCAGGGACACCTTCATCTAGACCAGGTTGCTCAGGGCCACATCCAGACTGGCCTTGGACACTTCGGGGAGTGGGTTGTCCACAAGTTCCCTGGGTAACCTGTTCCACTGTCTCACCACCCTCGCTGGGAAGAATTTCTTGCTAATACCCAATCTGACCCTACTGTTGTTAAGTCTAAAGCCATCCCCCGGTTCTTATCACTACTACTACTGTTGTAGCCCCTTTTAGCTACTGGAAGCCTGCTTTTAAGGTCACCGTGGAGCTTCCTCTTCTTCAGGTGGAACAATCCCAATTCTTTCAACCTTTCCTCATAGGAGAGGCATTTCATCCCTTTAATCATCTTCATGGCCCTCCACTGGACTCTTCAAGAAGTTATGTTTCCCTCTCTGCAGTCAGTGGGAGCTTCAGCAGACTGCCACAACTTCTCAAATATCATGGGTAGTGGCTTAGCCATTTCACTCATCAGCTTCTCTGTGTTGTCCTGGGTGTTCTTTATCCATAACTTTGCCTCACGTAAAGGCTTGAAGGGAATGGCAAAATACTATAGAAGTTTCCAGTCTGGCATTATAGCCAGTTAGGACTGAGAATGTGGAGTAAGTGGGAATAATGTACACCTGAGGTTTTTTTATGAAGTTTACTATGGAGATTTAAGAAAATCCTTTATACCATACAATTATTAGTTGCTGGTGGTCCTCAAGAAGCCATTGCTTCCAGTTTCTCGGATGCATCTGAAGCAGTCCAAAGTCCCTCAAATTTCACTGTAATATGTAATAAACCTCTGAACTTACAGGCATTATTGTAACTAATCTAGATCTTAAAGAGTCATTTTTTGAGCCAAGACAGAATATTAAAAGTAAGTCATTGGTTGCAGACCTGCCCCAGTGGAAGAAGGAACAGTGGATAAAGAACGTTCCTCTTGGATCAGAGTAAGGGTCTGTCAAGCCTTGTACCCTGTCTCCAGCTGCAGCAAGGAATAGATGCAAAGGGTTTAGCAACCTGGTCATATATAAAGTCTTTCTCAAGCACATACCACCACTTTTCATCAAATAGCTATTTAGGTACTTAGTGACCCAGCCGTAGCCCAACAGTTGTACTTAATGTTCTGTGATGGACCTGTTTGTTCTCTCTGAGTTCATCTAATCTCTTTTAGAACCCATTTATCCTTCACTACATCCTGTAGTAATGGGACCTACAATTTAATTAACAGAAGTAATGTGTTTCTGTTTATATACTCCAGACCTGCTGTCTTTTAATGTTACATACCCCTCCTACTTCTTGAAAGTTAGAAATATCAGTTGTGCTCTAGTCTTCATGATTTACAACCTCTCCACCACAGAGCAATGATGAAAGAGTTTCTATTCATGAAGGAGATACTTTGTGTTACTCAGTGCATGTGTGTTTTTTCAGTGGCATACACGAACACTTTATGGGCACAGTTGTTTAAATCTGTTTGTACAAGATTTGTCCACAAAATTTGTATGAATTGTAGAAGAGGGAGGCTTTTTTAGTTTCTTTTTTCATGGTGTACTTGATGTAATCATAAGAAAAAAGACATACTCTGCCAGACAGGCCATTCTTCTGAAAGCAGAAAAATGAAGGTAATTTTTGTGAACAATGTATGCATAGCAGAGTTGACATAGTATTTGCAGTCTGGATGATCTCATTAAATGTGTTTAATTCAGTTTCTTATATCATACCTAGATGTGTTTTAAGTCTACTTGGAACACTTCAGTTGTTTCCTTCAGAAAACAGTGCTTAGAAGTGAGTGTTGTCCCACCTCCTTTATTCTTTTGTCTTTTTCTCAACATTCCTAGTGATCACTGCTATTTCAGAGATGTTTGGCTATTCTTAGAGCTGTAGAGCTGTAGAGTCTTACATCAGTCGCTCTGATTGCTTCTTTTTCTTGGCCTTTTATTTTGTCCTTTTTACCACACATCAAAATGATGAAGAACTTTTTGCCATTAATAAATAACTTTTTCAGAAATAAAAAATAAATTCCACCTACTAGTGGATGAAGGTGGGTATTTCACCTGCTACTTCCTGTATTATTCCTTCCCTTGAGACATCAAGGACAATAGCTTATGATGTTAGTCAAAAGTTGTTGATTACAAGTGATAAGACACATGACAATTCAATTTGATAGGTGGGGCTTTGCATTACACATAATAACTCATTTAATCTGGTGCTCTTGTAGTAGCATATGCAATAGGACGTGGGAAAATCATTAGGTGGATTAAGGGATATAGTCATTAACTCTAAGTTTTCTTCTGAACAGGATAACTACCGAAGATTTTATAATTCTTACACAATACCAAGCCCATCTTAAGCAAGCTCTGACTAGCAGCTTGCTGTTAGGATTCTGCTATATCTCTGTGTGTCACAGCACACCTTCCAGCTTTGTCTCAAGTCTGTTACTTGCCTGTGCCTGCCTGTGTCCCTGTGCTTCATTTTCACCGTGGTCTTGGCTCTTGTGGCTTCTGAGCGTAGCTGCTGCTCTTGGTAGCTCCTGTACCCAGGAGTCCTGTCAAGTTAGACCTCAGAATAATACATGAGTTTAGCAATTCATCCCTCCTGTTAGCACCCTAAATTTTTCTTAACGGTTAGTCAGATTCACGTCTCAGAAGGATTTTTGTAAATATAGCTCACTGAAAAAAAGTGGTTATGACACTCTTTTCTGACACTCTTTTCTGATATTCCTGCTGCTTTGGAAATGTTCCACCTCTTTGGCATGGCTGGAACTGAAAAGTCACCAGATTGTTGTAATGCAACCTGTCCCTTCCTGTCCTGTGGGGCAAAGGTTCTCTTTGAAGATTTCAGTTTCAACAAAATCAAGATACATGTAAGCTATTTCGACAGTGCTTACATCATTGAGATGGTTTATTCATGGTGCTAGAGAAAACAGCACCATCTGTACAGAAATCCCTTCAGCTCCCTTTGTGTGGGTGGAGGAGGATGACAACCCACTGGTGCATATGGAAAAAGCAGAAATACTTCATACCTTTTTTTTTTGCTTGAGGCTTCACAGGCAAAGACTGCTTCCGTTTTCTGTGAACACCACAGAAGGAAAGGAGTTGCCAGTAACAGGGAAGAAATGCGTTAAAAAGACTTAAGAGCACAATCACCTTATAACCGTGGGACTCCACACATGGACTTTTGCATAAATACTGTTTTTGCCCATCAGCTGTAACACAGTTGTAACACAGGAGGTCCCTGACAACTGGATTGAGGCTGTAGTGTACACTTTTAAAAAAGGTGAACTGGAACATCCGGGAAACTCTACATTCATAAAACTTGTCTCAGTGTCCAAAACAATCAGGGAGCATGTACTGCATGTGCTTTTGGAATCCATCTCCAGTACACAAATGGCAAGATGATGAACAACAACCTGCAGAGAGTCATGAGGGCAAATCATGCTTGACCAAGTTAAGTTGCCTTCTGGGATGAAATGGCTGGTTATGTGGACAGAGGAAGAGCCATGAATTTAATGATAAAATTCAGTACAAGTACAGCAGTCTGTAATTACTTTATCATAGTCAATAATACGAGAATTGCTACTCTTAAAGTCAACAGGTATGCTTTCAGTTAAGATTTTGAAAATTATGATGCTTGTTCATTGCATTCTATGTGCCATGAACCTTTTATATTGTGAGCTGACTTGTCATATTGGGTCTACAGCACAGAGGAGTGAATTACTTTTGCAGTTCCCCAGTATAACTGGCATTATAGAAATTAATTTGGTCATGTTCTAATTATGCCTAATGCATAATTATTTTGTTTAATATCCCATAGCAAAGAAACTTAATAAATCAGATGCAGAATGTTGCGTAATACTAATGGCATTGCAGAGATTTGCAATGACACGTAGAAGAATTAGACTGCCAAGTGAGTTGAAAGTATTTCAAGTGAATGTCTGATAAGAAAAAATTATTCTAAAATTGGTTTGAGCCACAACACATTAGACCATATTGTAAGGTCTTGCCATTTGCCAACAGAGGTTTCATTCTTGTGGATCACCACTGTATTATGTCCCCTGCTGCAGCTATAGATCTTTCCTCTTTTTGCAATAGGTCCTTCAACCTGATTGTTTTTTAACCATTTGGTAACACAATGTGTGCCTGAGCAAAGACTCTTCCTTGGGTACAAGGCACTTAGTCTGGGAATGGTGAGACATCCAAGAAACACTGTTAAGAGAGACTGTAAAACCACATAGCCAGCTGAGAAAGAGACACAAAGTGCAATTGTCTTAGAGTGAAGATGGTGCCTAGAAATGTATTTCTGGTGCAAGACTGCTGCTTAGGCTATGAGACAGCAGGAATCTCAAAACTGCACAAGAAACAGACTGGGATGTATCTTCTCAGGAGCTGGGGACTTACCGTGATTAAATCTTGTTTCTTAGCAAGGAAAATGTATGAGGTGACTTAAAGAACCTGTACAATCAAAAGAAAGCAAATTGTCAGTCCTCAGGAAGAGAATGGGAAAAAAAATCAATGAAATATTAGAAGTAAAATAGTGGAGTAAACTTTAGTCCTAAGAGATAATGACACTGAAACCAGTGTGTGCTAATGAAGGCTTACCATGTTAGGTTCTCTGCTTCATGTATATAAGAACGTTTTTTAACTGAGCCCAGTACCTGGTGTTTAAAGAATAAATCTTGATTATAGCATACATTTGTAAACAGACTATTTTGGAATAACTGAGAAGGTGCTGTTCTTCTGTTATGTGCCATTTTCCTTCATGCTGAAAAGAAAGGCTTTGAAAATCTGGTAAATCTTCTTCAAGCAGAACCACAGCACAGCTTAGATACTCATTCCTTATTTATTATCTTGATATGTTGGGGGAGGAAATTCTGGAGCTACAGATCATTGCAGATGTTATCACTAGTCTTAAGGTAACTCACCTTTATCACTCCAAGTCCACTTAAGTCTCTGGACTAAGAAAGGCAGATGGAAGTCTGGGATTAGCAGAAGTTGGCCCTGTGGGTTGATATTCAATTTAAACATGGACCATGAGCTCCTTGATATGCCTGGTCAGCCTAAGCAGGGACATAATGTGGTGACTGTGGCATGAAATGAAAATGGTTCTGATAATAAAATGAATCTAATCCCATTTGAATTAATCTGTAAAGAGCTGTGGGCTCATGCCTAGGAGTGGAGTGTCAATGTTCAGCTGAACACTGATGCTGGAGAAGGAGCCAAAACCAAAACGTGATGGTAGAAAATTCTTACCATCTCGAAGTATTCCATCAGTAAGAGAATGGTCACAACAGCCTCTCTGAAGTTCAGCTTTAACACACTAGTCCAGATTTTTTGTTATTCTGATTTAAATACTTTTAAAATACTGGTTACAGTCCTAGCAGAGCTGCTATGGTCTAGGTAACTATTAAGCTGTGCTAGCTGTCTGCTTTTAATAACTGTCAGCCCTAAGTGAACTGTCAATTAAAATGACAGATTCTTGTTGATTAGAGATATCTACAGTGAATCCCTAGTCACTGACAAGAAACAGGCTCCTACGCTACAAGACAGTCTACTGAATAACAGGAAAAGTATTTTTTGTAATAAGCCATAAATTAATTTTCTACTGTCTTTCGATAATGAAATATTATGTTATTTTGAAAAGAGATTGGAGTAAAAGCTTTAAATGAGACTTTTGCAAAACTTATGTGAGGTTCGTAGTTAATCACGATTGAGAACTGCGTTCAGAAAAGTTGTGTAACTGTTTTTTGTGCATTGAAGAACCTTAAACGAAATAATTCACTGCCTTTAAATAGAAAAGGACAACTGACAGCTTCAAATGATGCTCCAGCCTCTGTTGTTCTGTTGAAATTAGTCTACACGACCATAGACTTCACTTCCCCCAAATATTAACCTAACTAGGCATTGGAAACACATATAGATAGCAACAGACAAATGAAAGAGATTTTAAGTCTAATAAAATATAAATTTTTGTACATAAGAGTATTGTGTAATTTTCCTCCTTTTCCAGTCAGCTTTTACTTTTTTTCCCAAAAGACATTTAGCTATAACTATTATCCTTCCCAAAACAGAAAAGAAAGGTTTACTAGCATTAATTAATGATCTTTCCAGTTATTTCTGTCAATCTTCTCTCAGTTTCCATGAAATTGTTCTTGTAGTATTCACTCCACTGTTTCCATGTATCATCTACAGAAATGTTAAGAGCTGAGTAAAATGTTGTGGACACATCTGGTCAATTCAACATTTTCTTATCTATGTTCTACATTTCTAAACAAGATTCTCTCTTTACATTGCTTAGTTATGCTTTTCTCCTTTAACCAAAAGGGCGGGTGTCTTATTAAAATGACAATCTGTTCCTCAGATTGTACTAAGACAAAGGAAGAATTTTATTTGTTCCATTAATCTTTTAAATTTTCAGTCTAGGATTCAAACTGTAACAATTATCCTTTGTTACAAACTGCTGCTCTTCCTATTAGAGACTAACTTGAAAAGCAGGTGCTTCTTTTTCCATTGTCATTTCATTAGCAACCATGATCTGAAGAGCTAATTCTCTGTCTAAACAGCACCCACTCATTTATAATGTTGGTAATAATTTCCAATTCCGCAATGGGAGGTCCTTTCATCCAAAGTCTTAAGGTGCTTGACTTGGACAAATTTAACTTGACAGCAAACCATGAATAGGTAAGTGTTATCAGAACCACATGACTTG